CCCCCCCCCCCCCCCCCGACAGGAAAAAAAAAAGGTCATGAAAATTGATGAAACATTATTTGCAATTTTGCAAGAGAGGATGATCCACACAATGAACAAATCAGTAAATCGACCTGGATTGAGCTTGACAATCGGTATTGATTTCTCTCTTTCGTCTGGAGTTTTTGCCCGTGCACTCCGTTCCACCCCTGCGCTGGATACAAGCACGAATTGGGGCCGAGGATTTCTGTATGCTTGAATAGACTTCACCTGCACATCATTATACAACCAATATAGTTGAATATGGTAATATACAAAGCAGTCAATCATGACATTATATAAATACATATATACGACCACCTATTTGCCTGCACTTAAGCATCCAGGCAAATTGAGAAAATTTTAAAATTGAGCATGTGGTGCCTTAAAGTGGCAGAAACTCAATCAGCTTAAAAAAAGGAAAAAAGAAACTGAGAAAAAGAAGAAAAAGATCAAAAACAGAGGAAAAGAAAATGGTATCTTTCTTCTTCTTCTTCTTCTTCTTCTTCTTCTTCTTCTTCTTCTTCTTCTTCTTCTTCTTCTTTTCTTACTCACCCATTCCCTATCAACCTCACTATTCTCCATAGCGCACCCCCTATTCCCCGCAAAGCCCCCAACATCCCAATAAATCTACCAGACAGCGGTCACAGGTACCAGCGCTGGGTAAGACAACCCACCCAGCTCTGGTTGAAGTTCAGGTCGATGAGGCCCTGCCACACAGGTACTTGGGATACATGACCTCTCGTTTTTGTTCTTTTTTTTTTTTTGTTTCTGAACCTGCATGGCATACTTGTGGGCCTGAGGGGAGGAGGAGTGAATTGCGGATCTAGAGTGTGGCAACACCAAAGGAAAAAGCACTCACCATGTGCGGCTTTTGAGTGGGTGAGAAGGGCTTTCGGGGCCTCGTACTTTCTGTACACTGAAAAGACTGACGTGCACAGTTATTTAGGCATTGCAGATCAAGGCCACAACGGCATGCTGGGCAAGTAATGAGGGCGGAAGGGGGGGGATGAGCACAAGACAAGGGATCACAGTTTTCGTGGGAGAGACTGGCAGCGACCATCCCTTCATAGTGTTCGGAGCAGAGGCTATGCCGTGTACATGCCAACCAAGCTGTACCTGTGTGACGACACAATGGGAAGGCACAGCCACCATCCCCTGGAGAGGTCCCTTCACTCTTTGTAGTAGAATCAGTCGGATTGCTCTCCAGGGGGTGCAGTGCTTGCAAGTGCTCATTGGCATACTGTTGCTGATGGACGAGCCAGACCGAGTGATCCTCCACCACTTAGTGACAGAAAGAGTTCATAATATATCCCGCTGTGTGCACCCTACCGCCATTGTCCCATAGGATCCATGAATTATCGGCAAATGTAAGAGCACTGAAATGACCTGGACGATGTAAGATATATGCCCAAGTATTTGGATCCACACCTGGCACGTCGTTTTGTGGAGCAGGTTGGAATTGTAGTCGCCTACCCATAAATGCCATAGACAGGACTTCTATGTTCACACCAGGGGCAGTACTGTCGTCCTCCGGGCAGACCGCACAGTGCTCTTCTTCTATCCAGCGTACAACGTTTGCGAAATCAAAAAACGTATAAGGGCTACAATTGTTAGCAAGGAGACAAACATTAAGGGTATAGAACGCACAGCGGCCTCGTGGTAGCGCTATGACATCATCAGATTCCACACTTTGCACAGTAGGGGGAGATTCGTTCAATTCTGCAGCTTGCACAGGTGGTGGAGACTCCTTACGGTCTTGACTATTTCTGTTAGGTGCCTCTGGCTGTATTGAGTCCGTTGGCTCTAGTATGCGCTCCGAAGATAGATCTTCAGTCGGGAGCCCCATCAGGTAATCAGGAGACAGGTCATTGTCATTTGGGGCAGGGGAGCAGGCGGGGCTAGGTGGATAAGAGAGGGGCGGGTCAGGCGGGTGAAAAAAGGGTGGACCAGATGCGGGAAGCGGAAGCTGATCAGCCGTACTTGTGCTCAGAGCGGCTGCTAGTCGTGCAAATGCTGCACAAGTAGCTGCACCTCGTGTCTGGTGCACACGCAGACCTGCAGCACAGCAGAAATCATCGCCACATTGCGGGCATCGGACTCGACATGTACTATTCCTGGCTAGCGTGTATTGAAGGCGACGATGTTGTTCCCAATGGTTGCGAGCATGCCGGCCAAGCCGATCTCTAATCCCTGCAGGAGGTGCAGTGATCATGCTGTTCAAGGATAATCGAGGCCGCCGCCTTGGAGGCTGCGGTGAAGACGGAGAACATCCCCGCCGAAGAGGCATCTGCAACAGTCGGTCTAACGACGGATGCGTCCGCCGATGGGGCCTTTGTCGCGGCTGATCCAATCATGAATGTGATGATGGTGATGATGATGCTGAGGTTGATGACGAAGAGGAGGCCTGCGAGATGGAGGAGGGGGAAGAAGGAGAAGAGGAAGAGGAAGAAGTAGAGGAGGCAGATGAGAGACAGTTTGATGTCATAGAAGATGTCGACGGGGGGATTGTTGGTAATGATGGTTGTGGCGGTGATGAAGATGATGGTGGCAGTGCCGGTGGCAGCACTGGTGGTGCCGGTGGTGGTGTGGGTGATGGTGGAAGAGGAGGGGGCAGTGGTGGTGATGATGCTGGAGGTGCTGGTGGCAGTGGTGGAAGCGGTATACTTCCCGCTGCCGCCGTATTGGTAGGATGCTGGCCCTCCTTCCTTGCAGCCTCTTCCGCCAAATTTGATGCGGCTGGCCTGGTGTCCTGCCGGATTGGCCTATCCATATTAGCGTCTGGCATTTGCCAGGAAGAACGGGAGAGGGCGGGTCCACCGCGTTTGGATGTGTGGAGGGCTGATGCTGCCCACGGTCAACATCGGTGTTGGGCGGCGGGAGGTGGCCTATTGCGTGTGATTGTGTGGAAGACCTGCACGCAGAATTAGCATCTGGGAGTGGGTGGGCAATTGTCCAGCGTACCATGCAGCGAAACCAGTTTGAAAGGCGTGTAACATGAGTAGGTAGCCGGTGCTGCCGTCCACGCACATACGCAGTCCAGTCTCTAGCCAGGACACTGGGGGGATGGCCCCTAATAAGCATTCGTCGTGTCAGGGAAGTCACCGCAGCTTTAAAGTCAGCGGTGTTGTTACAGATACATTGATGAGCTGGGGCATTAGAGGAAGCACTAGGGTAGTGTGTCTGTTTTAGATTTTCCCCACAACAGCCCCAATTCCACCCAGGTGAATAGATTCAGAATCAAGGCAGTCTTTGTCCTAT